CCTTGCTCTCCATTCCTCCCTAACCCCGCACCCTGACGCGCAGGCTCCTGCCTCCTGCCTCCCCCCTTTCCTTGGGACTGGCATTCCCTTTCCTTTCCTCGGTAAATTCCTTACAGCCTTCAAAACCTCCAGAGATGTGACCTCTGCCTAAGGACGCCCTAATTCCCTAGGGAAGACATCTCTTCTAGCCTTGGCTAGGGACAGAGAGCTGGCGTCCCTCGTCCCTCGTGGGTCTGAGCTGGGGCTCTGGCAGGACAGGTTCTGGGCTTATCTGATTTCTCCCCGCCCAGCCTGAGCCCGCAGGAGCACGGAGCTCTGAGCTGATCAAGCTTCCTCCTGAGGAAGAGGAAGCAGAAGGCAGGGATAGAGGAAGCGGAAGGCACGGGTGGGGTGGGACAGTGGGCTCCTTTGTTCCATTTTCCCCACGCGGGGCCAGCTCACCGGCTGATGGCTTCCCACGAGGGTGGCATGGGTGCCGCCCCCACCCCCAGCCATGTCCCCACATTCTGGGGGCAGAACCTCTTCAGGGGCTGACCCTCCCACCCCATCCAGTGATGGGCTGGTTCCAGGATGACCACGAAGCCAACCAGAACCAATTCCAGACTTGGTTGAGCAGCCGGTGAAGACATGATCTCAGTCAGATGCTTCTAGAAGCTTTCACAAGACAGATTGCTTGAGAATGAACCCAGAGCACCATGACAGCTAGAGACAGAGAAACTGAGTCCTTATGACAGCGGTTGTGTACCCAGACCCAGCCATATCTGAAATCCATCTCCTCCTCACACTCTGGGACTTCTCCACCACACAGGACAGTCGTTTCTCTCTGGCTGAAGCCTGCTTGTGTGGGGCTTTTTTTGCCGGTCTTGAGCTTGAACTCAGAGCCCGGGCTGATCCTCTCTGTGCTCAAGGCGAGCACTCTACCTCTTGAGCCACAGCGCCACTTTCAGCTTTTTCTGAGCACTTTGTGAAAGACTGCCCGGGCTGGCTTTGAACCGTGATCCTCAGATCCTCAGATCCTCAGACCGGTGGCGTGCGCCGCCGGCGTCCGGCCCTAACATTTCTTACTCTGTACATTGAGCTGGGAAGAAAACCTTTCCTAATCTGGTTGTAAGAAGAAAAACCCAGCACATTCCCAGCCAGCTTCAGCCGTCAGATCCTAGAGAGTCGGGGCCAGGCTGGAGGGAAGCGGGGGCGCAGAGAGGCCAGGTCTGCAGGGCTGGACGGGGAACTCGCTTGGTACGCGTAAAGCACAGTTCTGGCCAAGCTCAGAGCGACCCGAGGCTCCCGCCTCTGGCAGCCACCTGGCGACCCGCCCCAGGCCGCGGCCGCCTGGGCGTGGCCCAGGGACTCAGCCTCGGCCCGGCCGTCCTTCAAGTCCCGACCTGACCTTGAGCAGCGAGAAGAAAGCCAGACACCTGGCCGGCTCTGCGCCAGCAGGCGGCGCGAGGGCTTCTGGGAGGGGCGTGCCCGCCCGGGGAGGGGCGTGGCCTCGGGGTGGGCGGGGTCGCTTCCCTCCCGCCCCGGCCACCGGATGCCTCGATGGCCACGCAGCCACCATCTGCCTGCAGAGAGGGTCGGTTCTGCACAGAGTGGGTGACTACCCGGTCCTGAGATAAAAGGAAGGGGTTGGGAAGGTGGCTCAGTGGTAGCGAGCCTACCGAGCATGCATGAAGCCCTGGGTTCGATTCCCCAGTGGCACATGAACAGAAAAAGCCGAAGTGGCACTGTGATTCAAGTGGTAGAGCGCTCGCCTTGAGCTGAAGAGCTGAGGGACAGCGCCCAGGCCCAGAGTTCAAGCCCCACAACTGGCAGAAAAAGAAAAGAAAGGAAGTAGGTATAGACTGGGGCCACTTCTTGTGTGACCCCTGAACTATCAAAAACTGGACAGACGGGAGATGGTCAGTCACCAGGGGCTCGGGTAAATGAACCTGGAGAGCCAGGGGCCCCTGAAGTGACAAGATGGTCAGAGCCAGGAGCAGTGGCCCAGCACTCCTCAGAAGACAGAGGCTGGAGATCTCGAGTTCCAGGCCCTCTGGACACCACAGCAAGACCATGTCTCAAAAATGAACAAAATCACTTGCAACCAGACAGGTGGAGGCTCCCTTCCCCCCGCCCCCACGTTGTAGGGCTTGAACTTAGGGCCTGGGCACTGTCCCTGAGCTTTTCTGCTTCAGGCTGAAGCTCTACCACTTGAGCCATTGCTCCATTTCTGGTTTTCTGGTGGTTCATTAGAGATAATAGTCTCATAGACTTTCTTCTTTGAAGCAATCCTCAGATCTCAGCCTCCTAAGTAGCTAGGATGACAGATGTGAGCCACCAGCGCCTGGCTGAAGTGGAGGTTTTGTGACAGTTGTTTGGACTGCCATGGACACCAGCATTCTCCTTGAAATTATTCTTTTGTCATGAGTGTCGTTGGGGGGTTGGTCAGGCGCTCAGGTTTTACTCTGCTTTGCCTCCATCACCCATATGGAAGCTGGGTTCCTGCTCACAGGCTTGGTGTTTCTCTCCCCTGGTGAGGGTCGATTAGGAAAACCCCCTCTGCGTGCCCTCTGCCTGCAGGCTGGCTCTACCTCCATGGGGCTCCTCCCACTTAACCAAGTCTCAGGGCTGGGCCTTACTGGCTCCACCTGGGTCACCTGTCCCTCCTTGAACCAGTCACGATGGCCAGGTGGACAGGCACTCTGACCATGCTGTGATGGTGTCCGTGGTCTCTGTGAAACCTGTGTGTGTGTATCCAGGTCTTAGAGCATCTGTTCTTCCACAGTCAACAGGCCTGGTCTCCCCAGCATCAGGGCGCGGGCAGGCTGGGCAGGGTCGTGTCGGCACGGGGTGGGGGTGGAGGGGGCAGGAGGGAGGGAAGTTCTCCCCGTGGATATCCAGCCCAGCGCGGTGGGAACCTTCCTCCGTCCCTCGGGAGGCTGGGACATTATTTTCCCCTGTGGAATGAACCCAGGATCCGGGCCAATCCGGTTCTCTCCTGTCCTCGGGCTCGGGCTGGCCAGGGAGGGGTATCGGGAAGTGGGGAGGCCGGGGAACGGGAAGTAAGGGATCCAGGGATGGAAACTGAGTTATTTTGGGGCAGTGCAAGAAGAAAAAAGAAGAAGAAAAGCAACACCCGGGAGCGCTTCCTTCGGAGCCTCTGACTCACGCTCCTTCGGCTGCCGCGCTCATCGCCGCCACTCTTATCCCTACCGGGACCGAGGAGCCCCGGAAGCCAAGCCTTTGCTTTAAGGGCCGCCGACCCGCCCACTTCCAGACCTTTCCCTCTGCACCTGGAGCTAGGGGCTGGACCCGGGTATCTGCCGGGTTTGGAACACACCTCGCGGGCCTCGTTTTGGAACCACTCAGCTTAATCTTTGCTTGTTTGCCAATAAATCGCACATTTCCTAGGATTGGTTGTGTTTCAAATACACCTGGGAGTTAGCATTTTTAGATCGGGCAAGCGGGAGACTTCGGGGATTTCCCCACGGGCCCGGGGCCGGCGTGGCTTGCGAGTCTGCGGCCTCACCATCGAGACTACACAGAGCTCAAAAGGAATCCTGGGTTTCCTGGGAAAAGACCCCGGAGATTCCCGATCCCGGCGCGGTCTCTTTAAGAGGTTTCCAGCTCGTGCTCACGGGGGGCGTGGCCGATAGGGGCGTGGCCTCATACGACTGGCCAATCCGTGGACGCGGGGCGGGCCCCGGCGGCAGGCCGCGAAGGGTTAAAGGGGCGTGGCCGCGCGCCGCTCCGTCCGGCCGC